CTAATACTCCTGTGGCCTCCTCTATCGATTTAGTGAATCGGCTTTTAAAACCATCTGATCTTGTGGCTGTTTCCCCATTCACAGAAACATTGCCCTATCTTATACACAGAATATGGAGACGATTTGTCTGTTCTAATTCTGTTAACGGTTTTCTTGGCTGATTCCACATCTGAATAGCGTAAAAACCTTTTTCTCTGCCTACTTGCATTACATGCTGTAGAGTTTATAAGACGGAGTTGTTATTGCATAAGCTGTCGGATATCACAGTGAAGTGGACTCAGTGAACGTTTTAAGATGCGTTGTTCTTGTTGCAGATGTGCAACAAGACTGCTCTGCCCCAGCCACCCTTCTGAAAACTGTTGCATATTTTCTAAACCTATGTCAGGTTTCCTATTCTTGGTTTGCTAAACTAAAAAGCCGCAAAGGCTACAACTTTTCCAAGTCCTGATTTTGCTGCAGGACAGATTTTTTGTAGCGTTCCGTGTTGGGTCTCTTTGGTCTAAGAGGGAGAGAAGGAGAAATATTATCAGGCTTTCAAGATTATATTATATATATTATATTATAGCTTAGATCGGCGGTTCTCAAAGTGCTTTCTGGGGCCCCTGGGGATCCCCAAGGCCCTTTCAGGGGGTCTACAAAGTCAAATAAATATGTTCAAATGTCTCTGTTTTAATTTCTAACACAGCAGGTACTGATAGATATAACCCACATAAACCAAAGCTCTTTGGGGCTCAATCATTGTTAAGAATGTAAAGGGGTCCCAGGACCCAAATGTTTGAGAATTGCTGGCCTAAATCAATAACACAGAATTCTAGTATTTCTTGTGGTGTCTGTTTCCTGACCTGGTGTATCTTGAAGGGTCTCTTGATACAAGAGACTTGGCTACTCCAGAAACAAATTCCTGGAGAGGGGAGATTGGTCCCATTGCCCTTCTCAGTTTCTAGTGCAGTGTTTTTCTACCCTTGCGCCACCCAAATTGGATTAAGCTTTTATCTACACAACTTCCCCCCTCCCCGCGCGGGGGGGGCTACTTGA